TTACCTGAGGAAACCGCTTGTTCGCATTCTCGCACGCTGAATTCATGCAAACTACCTGTAAACTCTGGTTCACAAACCCCAAGAACTAAGCCCAAACAAATAATATGGTTTAGAACCTTTTATGAGCCAAAACCCCACATACTCTGTGCACTAAACTTCTGTGGAGATTCTCAGTCGTCCAGGTCATGGTTGTCCTGAGGGTGTTTTTTCAAGAGGCAACTGGACTTTTGTGTTCTTTGAAGACGTTTTGCTTCTCATCCAAGAAGCTGCTTCAGCTCCATTCCCCACCATCCACTCACAGAGTATACGGGGTTTTGGCTCATAAAAGGTTCTAAACCATATTATTTGTTTGGGCTTAGTTCTTGGGGTTTGTGAACCAGAGTTTACAGGTAGTTTGCATGAATTCAGCGTGCGAGAATGCGAACAAGCGGTTTCCTCAGGTAAGCATCTCTAAAACTTCTTCCTAAATAGAAAGGCGGGTCGGCGCCGGCAAGAAAACGCAAACGACCACCGGCTTCTGACCTTTTTTTTTCTCTCCAGCCAATGAGAGCGGCCCTTCTGGATGACACGCAGCTCTCGCGCCCAATAAGTCAGGCGCCTGGATGGAGAGGCGTAAAGGAGGGGGGTGGGAACCGTGGAAAAGGAGGCGGAGGAAAACGCTGTGCAAAGTTGCGTGCGTTGAAGGGGAAAAGAGGCGGGCCGGAGGGAGGCGGTTGGGGCTTGCAGAGGGAGCGCGCGAGCTGACGAGCCGGGCGGCTCGGCCCAATCGGCGCGCCGCTTCGACCGGTGAGTGACGGGCGGGCTCGTCAGCGGCGAGGGGGGTGGGTCAAAAGGCCGGCGTTCGAAGGGGGAGCGTTTGCGCGCAGGTGAGGAGCTCTTGCGCTACTGAGGGAGGGTAGAAAGGAAAGGAAGGGGAGGAGCCGCGTCGGCCTGTGGGGAGCGGGGTAGCTGTAGGCTTGGTGGTGGTGTTGAAGTGGCGCCTTCCTTAACCCCCCCTCCCCATCTTTGCTTTGCTCGCCGCTGTTATTTTTTCCCCCCAGTGGGCTCCCCTTCCCTTCCGACCCCCGACATTCCCGTTAAAGCAGTCGCTTGGATGGAGGGAGGAGGCCGGTGCGTGCCCCCTATCCCGATCAGCGCCGTGCAGGATGGTGATGCTCCCTTCCCTCCCATTCTGAAGCGCTTCCACCCGCTCTACTTCAAGAGGGAGGGGGGACGCCTTGCCCCCCCCCTTTGCCATTCCCTCAGATTTGTGCTTTAAAGGCGGGAAGAACGGGCACAAATTCTGAGGCGGTAGACTGGACCGTACTATTTAAGGTGTCGGGGGGATGCTGGAAAATGTATTTCTGGCCAGGTTTATTCTGGTATATTAGGTATTGATAAAACTACAGTGGCCAAGTGGCTATTAAGACAGAACCAGTGCGCCTCTTGAGGTGTTTTGCTCGCTTATTAAGGTAGCAAACGGGGCCAAACTAGGAGCTGCTTGACCTTTTTTTGATCTTCCTAAAGCCATGGCTTCCCAAATAAGCTGCCCGCAATTATGGTCAGTTTTTAAATGATGGCTTGTGAGTTTTGGTGGCTTTCTTCACCAAGCCAGAATTAAATAGCAGAACAACCTACTGCTGTAAGCACCCAATCTTTGAGTTTGGCGGCTTCACTTCTTACCCTATTTCTCTGAAAATAAGACCTCCCTGGATAATAAGCCCAAGTCGGGCTTTTGAGGTCATGCGCTAAAATAAGTCCTCCCTGAAAATATTGCAACACAGCAGCAGCTATGAGGTGACCATGCTCGCTGCCTCTTGCATCTCAAAAATAATAAGACCTCCCCGAAAATAAGGCCAAGTGCTTATTTCAGGGGTCAAAAGAAAATAAGATCCTGTCTTATTTTCAGGGAAACACAGTAATCCTTGTGTTTCAGATCGTAAGCTTGGAAGATATTGCTATGAGATCCAGTTGTTTGGAATGTGCTTAACATGACTTAGCATTTTATGATTTCAATGCTAGTCTAAATGGCCAGTTGAGTATATATGAATCATTTGAACAAGACGATTTATCTTAAACATCCTTTACTGTTCTCTTCATTTCCTAGCTTTTTTTTTTTTTTTTGCACAGCAGTTTGATGCTATGGTCTTTGCAGTTATAAGGAATAATGCCTGCAAAAAGGTAAAACTACACTACCACCCTCCATTCCAAAAAATAAATCTACTTAAGATTTTAATGTAGGTTTTGATTTTCTGAGCATTTGCTCAGAACCTTTCCAGTCTAGATTCATCTTCTAGGCATCTAGATCAAGGCAATCTGAAATTGAATACAAGATTGATCTACAAAATATTTTCCCCAAACTATAAGTTCCTTGAGAGATTTATAATTTTTATTTAGCTTTGTTTTCATAGCTATATTGAAGACAGAAGAAAAATGGTTAGCATTTTAATAGTGCTCAGGTGCATTAATAGATTTAAATAACCTAGAGATTATGATTGGATTTTGCAATAGGAGAAAAATAGCAAACAACAATAGTAGATAATATTCATGAATGTAAAATGTGTTCCTGAAAAGGAGATTTTAAAATATTTACAGAATATTAAATTCAAAATTAGCTGTTGCTGTGCAAGAAATTATGTAGATAGTGAAGTTGTGGGTAGCTATTAATCACTGATGCGCGTATCAAAGGGGGAGATAAAATAAGTTTTTAAAGATAAGATGTAGCAACAGTTTTTCTTCATTTTGATAATGGGGAATGCATTGTCAACAACAGCAATTCACAAATATTTTGCAATGATAGGATGAAGCCAAAGTAAATAGAGTTCATTTTCATCTTGATTGGATACCCAAGAAAAGCAAAGTGTAAACTATACATTTAGAATTAAAAGATGATGAATTTAGGAATTTTTGTATAGACCAAAACTACAAATCTATTACTTTTCTACATTTAAATGTGTTCTTCAGTTCCAATCTTTTTCATGTTGAGTTTTTGGTTTGTTAGCTAAAGAAGAAAATTGGTGACATTGCTTTTAAGTAACTTACCTGTATTTGTCAATCCACTGACCATTCCAAGTTCTAGAAGAGATTTCTATCTTTTATCTACTTTTAACTAAAAAACAACACAAGCATTAAAAAAGGCTATTGAAATTAATGCAATTTATTATTTGTTTGTATCCAACCATTGTTTTTACAAAAAACTCAAGGTGGCAAACATATCCAACATACCTTCCTCCTGTTTATGCACAACAAGAAGCCTATGAGATGAGTTGCGCTGACAGTGACTGGCCCAAAGTCACCCAGCTAGCTTTCATGGCTAAGGCGGGGCTAGAACTCACAGTTTGCCGCATTGTAGCTTGATGCATTAACCAGCAGATAAACAAGTAGATCAAATAATTAATACTTCAAAGGACATCTGATGAAATTTAGGTATTGTGACACACATCCTTAGAAAGTCTTTACACAGAATCATAAGTCTTGAAGTTGCTTTCCTGGTCTTTTTTTCAATACTCTGAGTGATGGTAAATGACAGAACACTGGTGAAATGAGAAACAGCATCTTTGCAAATGAGGCTGATTTTTTTCCTTTGGTCTCTGATTTGTTTCTTCTTTTTAAAACTTGTCTAATTTCATTTAATACCATTATTGGACTGGATGAAGGAAAGTTTGCCCATATCATCCCAGACACAGTTGTGGGATGAAAAGTAGAACTATTTAAAAGTGAATTGCCTAAAGCAAGTTTTCGTTTGTTTTGTTTTTTCAGACTAATTTTGAGACAATAGAAAAGTGAACGCTTCATTTTCATTGGCTGTGAATCAGATATTGTGTTATAGAATAGAACTCAGATTTTAAAGTTTATTTAGTTAATATTTGGTATTAATAAACCAAGTATAATTTTTCCCAAAGGAAATAATTAACTATTTGTTCTATAAAATATAGGATAGAAAGTCCATTGTTACCTTACTGTAATTTATACATTCTTGGCTTAGAAAAAGATATAAGTTCAGTCTCATGTAGAAAGAATTGAAATTTAATTTTTCAGATTTTAATCATAAACCCATAATATCAATAGATGTGAAAATGTTTTATTTTTATATTTAAAAACAATAACCTTTATAATTTTTATATAAAAACCATCAGGTTGGAAAGGAAAATGAGAAAATGCATGAATGTCTAGTTCTATTTTTTTTTCAAGTGCTTCCAGAATGAGTATGCACTTAGGCCATTGGATAAGGTGCCACACAAATGTGATTTTAACCAATATATTTTAGATACATATTTTAGATCAGTCTATTGTCACATATGGTATATCGTAGTAGAATGAAAGTACTTTTAAAAATAGCTTCAGAATCAGGCCAACAAACTATCTGACCTGGTATAGATTGCTTTAGGTTTAAGAACTGCAAATGGTTCTTTTTTCTTTTAGTTTCTTGGGTCACTCTGATCAGACTTTGGCAGAGGCTAAAAATTGACAAGATAGTGTTTTTCCATTTTAGACAAAAGTACTTTAGTAAATTTAGAAGAAAAGAGAAATCCCATGTGTATAATACGTCTTGCTCCCTTTGTGTTAATTCATCCTCTACCCAATGTAACATTTTGGGAATCAAAAAGTTTCCGACGACGATCCTTTCTTGAGTAATGTTCAATATAATGCTTCTCAGAAGCCCAAAATGAAAACAATTGTTTCATTTCCATTATCCATATTAAACTTATATATTAATAATGTTCATAATCCATTTTTTCAAACAATCTAAAACAAAGGACATAGCATAATTATATGTAAGAAAATAATGCAGGTTGTAAACTCTGATTTATGTATGTCTTTAAAAAAAAAACCACCATTCTGGTTTGGATAGTTAGAAATAGTGCCCATTTGTGCCTAATATTTTTCTGCTTTGCTTATGCATTTGTGTTCAATCCTGAAATGTGTAAGCTGTTCTTATACTACCCAACCTATTTTTGTTCTTTTGCTAAGAAAATTGAAATTTTCAAATATTAGTTATATTTAAAATGTGCAGTCTTAGTTGTTAAAAATGAAGCTGCTAACAGAAGAACTCACATTATCAAGACTAGAGATAATATGCTAACATAAAACAAGTGCTTGTCAAAGCTATTGAAAGAGCAGCTAAATATGTACTTTCTTGGAATGATAAAGAAAAAGTGTAGTATTTAAACCTCAGAGCACAATTCTATAAATAGGTTATGTTTTCTACATGCTGAGAGCATATGGCTTCATTCTAGTTTACAATAAAGAGACAATTCTACCCAAGCTGTGTCAGAGCCTTCTGCCAAATAAACTAATTTCTAAATAAGGTGGTTAAATGTCAAGAGAGTTGAAATGTATTGCCAAGTGTGGTGTAAAACCTGAAAATTGGTCTTTCAGGCCCATTTATTGTCATCCTAAGGTTGTGATGCTGAAATTTATCAGAACTAAATAATGAAACCCAGTGAAGCTTTTCTATATGTTTTGTAAGAAAAAAATCAAGATAGTTTATTCAGCCTTGGATAGTTGGTATTCTTATATATTGGTAAACATGCTCAAATCCAAAGCAGGACCAACAGCACTTTTAGTGGCCCAGAAGGTTAAATAAATTTGTCTATGGATTGAAAAGGTTGATTGCCCCTTATTTTAAAAAGTAGTTTCTTTTCAGAACAGAAAAATACTATTGTTACTTCAAAAGTATAATTGGACTTATTTGCTGATTGAAGTTTTTCCTGACATGGATTTGATATCCTATGGTTAGAATATTCTATGGTTACTTAAGTGATCCTGAAAAACTAAATTATTGAAGTCATATTAACTTATACAGTAAGCAATAATAACTGCTCCAATAAATTGGCCTTCATAAATTAATGAACAAATTCTGTTTAAAATCACGTGGTCAGATCGTTTCCAGAATTTAGTTTTATTAGAGCTGTTCTGGAGATAGTAATATATTATTTGGTTATTAAAAATTGTCAGTATTAAACTACAAATTAGAATGTTCAATTCTTAGTTATGTTTGCCAATAAAGTTTTAAGGAAGCATCTGATATTGCATACAATATTTTTGTTCTAAAGTTTGCTAACAAATGCCTGAAAACACAATACTTTTAAAAACGTTTTTGTTTTGGTCTTTCAAAGAAAGTATGCCATATAAAATTAATTATTGACATCATTAAAATACATTTTTCCAATAAATTAAGTCTCCCTTCATAACAATTATTTAATGGTTCTCATTTTTGAATCAAAGTTCTTTTGATTAAATATATTATCTGTGTACTTGAACATTTAAATTGATTCCTGCTACTCATTTTTAAAGGGAGAAATCTAAAAGTTGAAATAAAAACTTGTTACAGTATGCTTAAGCAAATAGAATTCCAGGATGATTAAAGATTAATTCCTTTACTGCAGAAAGAAGTACATTGAAAGCTGGAAAAGATGAAACAACTGAAAAGGAAAAGGAAAAGCAATTTCAGTGTTCAGGAGACCCAAACATTACTTAAAGAAATCCGAAAAAGAAGAGAGGTGCTTTTTTCCAAACAGCTAAATACAACTATTAACGAGATGAAGCGGAAGGCTTGGGAAGAAATTGCAGAATGTGTGAATGCTGTAGGTGAAGGAGAACAAAGGACTGGGACAGAAGTCAAAAGGCGATACCTTGACTGGAGGGCCCTTATGAAACGAAAGCGACTGAATACTAACATAAAGTTGGTTGGAGCTGGCTTTCATCTCCCTTCATCTGATCTGGATGATTCTCTCAATGAAGATATTGATGAGAAAATAGGTTTTCCCAATGAATCTAATTTTGAATGGCAAAATATCACAGACTTCAGAGAAGCAGGGGGATCATTAACTGAAGTGAAAGTAGAAGAAGAAGAGGAAGATCCACAAAGTTTTGAAGTAGGTACTTCTTCTATAGTACATCTCCAAACCTGGTATTTTAACAAAGAGGTATAGACTTTTTAATCCCCTATAAATACAATTTGTTTAACGTGAAATCTATATTAATTATTCTGTTTATGTACAAAGTTTGAAAGAACATTTTAAAAGATATTAATATTTTACAGTTATGGACCTTTTATATTCACAAACTCATCAAATACTTAACCCATGAATATTTGGCTCAAAGCAAAATAAAACATCTGGGGTGCATTTTTTAACTCAAAGAAACTACCATAGGTCCAATTACTTATAATCTTATTTGACCATAAGCCTCACTAATTCCAATTTTTTAATGCAAATAGTAAAGATTATGCTGTGGTCCGAACAAGAGCCATTTTGGTTTAGTGACAAGACACCAGGCTAAAAACCAGGAGACTAAGTTCTAGTCCCACTTTAGTTTTGAAAGCTGACTGGGTGATTGGATCAATCATACACTCTCAGTCAAGATGTCTGGCTTGTGTAACAAATCAGTCAGTTAATTCCTGTCATAACCAATGGATCACTCAGTTGATATGGGAAAGAAGGGAAGCAAACCCTGTCCTAGTGTGAAAAGCTTTTAGGAGGAAAAAAATGCTATTATCCAAGCAAACAGTATGTGTCTTCCATATGTATTTTTAACTTTTTTAAATAGCTAGTTTTACATAATAGATTGTAAATACTCTTGCAAACAGAATTGAAAAATCGAGTATGTCCTCTGATTATACACATAAAACATGTGAACTATCTTAAAATTTTAATAGTTCTGGAATTCTTTACTAAGCCAAATCTTTGTATCTATCATAAAATATTTGGAGAAAGAAGCCAAATTAACCTAAAATTATCGTAATCCTCTATGCCGCTAAACTCATTTGGAGTATTTTTATAAAATGCTGAGCTGGCAATTTTCTACATATTTCTTCTGCGATTCAATTAGCTGCTTTATTTGCAGGAGAGCTATCATGATCTAGAATGTGGATTCATTGGATGTCCATGTTTTCTAAAAACTTGGCATGTTTTCTTTGTTTATTACAACTTTTTCCAATGTGATTTTTTTAAACATTCTTTCAGTGTGTGATCCAACTTTTCCTAACATTAATGGGGAATTTGTTAGTGGTATAGATTGCCAATTTTACAGATATTTTGATTCTGCTGCCTTACAAGCTGCTTGAATTTTATCCCTTCGGTCTCTATTAAAACTTTTGGTATTGGGGAGTGATTAGGTCCTCAGTACATACCTGTTTCAGCATGTGTTTTATAATGTTCATTATGTGAGCAATCTGTATCAGCAACTATGAAATCTCTTAAATAGTGGAATTCCTTATTACCCAGCAGCTGTAGTAATTTCTGCATTGGAAGTGAATAATTGATATTTGCTGAATAAATGTATGATTCAATTGACTCATTTTTATAAAAAGTCCTTTTTCTTTTGAAAATGACTTAAAGCTGCCTAATTGATGTAGGCATATCTAGGATTAAACTGTCTCATTGAACTGTTATTTTTAATTTGACATTTCATTCATCAAATTTTATTGCTTGATGTAGTGCTCTGACGGGGATTTTTTTCCCCTGTGGCTTGGTCTCTGCTAAACAAATGGCTACAGTGTGTGTACAGTGACATGGTGATATTAACAGAGGAGGCAGAGCTGAACAGGTTATGTACTTTTGTTTACAAGGTGTTATGAGGTACATGTAGTTAATACTTTTAGTGTAACATTTTTTGATGCCTACTTTCTGCTCTTGATTATATCAACACTTCTTCCATGTTAACATAGAAAATATTTGTGGCTGTAAATGAGGAATTGTAGATCTACTTTATTTAGAGTGATAGAAATATCTGTTTAGCTTTATACACTAAAATTTCTAATTAATTTCCTTAGTTTCCTATTGAGGAAGAAGAGGAGATTTTGTCCTCAGTTTTGCCCGATTCCAAAAAGGAAAGTGACCTTCCCGATTTCACCCATATTGAAGAATTTGGAAATCTAAGTTCTGCTCAAGCTAGGCTGGCTTATGAAGATTCCCACTTGCTGATTAGCTTGGAGAAGCAGAAGCTAGAGCTGGAAAAACAACGCCTGGATATTGAAGCGGAACGACTGCAAGTTGAGAAGGAGCGTCTGCACATTGAAAAGGAGCGGTTGAGGCACATTGATCTGGAACATGAGAGGCTTCAGCTGGAAAAAGAGCGGCTACAAATTGAGCGGGAGAAACTGAGGCTTGAAGCTCAGCATGGTGAAAAACCTATCTTGGAGAATGATCCAAACCAGGCAGAAAAGCCTGTCCTACAACCTTTGGATTTAGAAACAGAAAAACTGAAAATTGAGAAAGAGCGTTTGCAGCTTGAGAAGGAAAGGCTGCAATTCCTGAAGTTTGAATCAGAAAAGCTGCAAATTGAAAAAGAACGCTTGCAAGTGGAGAAAGAGCGGCTTCGAATTCAGAGAGAAGGGCATTTGCAGTGAACTTGGAAGAAATCATTACCAACATTGTGTTCTGTTGTTTGTACTTTAAAAAAAATCGGAATTGTATTTTGGTTTTATTAAAAGTGTTGAATAGTCTGGTCTTCTAATCATTTCACTACCAATGTTATCACTTTGCTACTGTGGTAATTACACTTTGAGAATACTTTTGTTTTGGCCATAATTGAGCATTGATGTATTCTTTTTTTTAAAAAAAAAAAGCTGGGAATTGATGCTCAGTAAGTTGTTGTGCCTGCTGTATAAATAGAATCTATTTGTGAAATTACATTTTGGTGAAACAGAAGAAGTGTGAATAACCTCTTGTATTCTCTGTTGTGAAACTTTACATCCACATTAAGAATCAAGCTTGGCTGTGTCTCGTCATTTTGAGAGGGTTCTCTAAATCCATAGGAACCTTTAATGTAAATTTGTGTCTGAGCTGAAGAAGTGAGTTTGAAATAGGCCTTCCACAATAAAGTTAACCTCAAAAGTTATGCCTTTAATGTAAGGCATGTTCTTAAAAGAGATTAAGGCCAGAGATTAAAGCACTTAATGTTTTTGTTCTCCGTATATTTGTAAAAAAAAAAAAAGTTTCAAGTGTATTATAAGAGATGTCACTTTTATGTCTAAGCTTGACCAAACCTACAGCTTCGATATATGGAAGCCAGTTTGATATTCAAGTATTTGAGTTGGAATATATTTCTTGGGATTTACATAGATTATTTGGATTTATCAGTTTATTTACATCCCTATGTAATTATTTTTATTTTGCAAATAAAGTGTTATTTTATTATTGAAAGAAGTGTGATTTCATAATGTGAAATAAAATGGTCTGATGTAGATTAATTTATTCCTTATGAGCTATTTTTAAAAAAAAATAAAGAATGAACACTGAATCTTAATTGTATAAAAAATGATCTGCCTGATTTTTAGTAATATTGGCTTGTAAACAATACATAGTCTTGCAATGGAGAATGCACAGCAGACTTCACTCTAAATTCAAAATTCAAGTGAGAGTCACATGATCCTAGAATTTTGTTGGACAAAGACTGGAATTCCAAATAGTTATGCTTGTGTGAGTTAAAAATCCAGCATAACCCAGATTCATCAGCCAAACATATCACATGGATTGATTTCACTGTATATAAACAGTGTGCACTCTGAGAACAATGAAATATAAATAATAATCCTTCCTGCAATGTTTTCACCATTATTTTTTTCCCTGATTCTTTTCAGAAGCTGAATTTTTCACAATAAAAACATGCAAAATAAAACTCGTCTGTATAAACAGATGCAACTTAGTTTTGTTTCAGCAACTGAATTATAATACAGGCAAATGAGGGGGATTAGGCCTGAGAGAATTTGTAGTTTTGAAAATACTATCAAATTGACCTTACCTAATTCACACATTATTTATTACAAATACTGTTACCTTGCCACAAAGAAAGTAACTCTGTCTTACAGTGCATATAAAAAAATATGACTGCAATTGCAACACCATTCAAAGATGGACAGAGGCCCCTCTGGCAATAGCTTCTTCCTGCTTATCAAACAGGAAACATGAGTCCAGAGACGCCAATCCTTGATGATATATGGGTTAAAACTAGAGGAAAGAAATAGGCAATGGGGAGTGAGGAATTTGCGGTTCATTGACACATCAAGGTGTTTTTCAAAGATAGCATCCAAGGATGTTTTCAGATTAATTTACATAATGTGAATATCTTCTATACTAGTCATCCTTCAAATCTAAACTTCCTCAAACTATGCTTTGATCTCTTAAAAGGGTAACACAATTCTTTATTCTTAAAATGATAAAGCAAAACTATGATGTCATAAGGCAGTTTCATCATTTTAACCCATATCCTTGTACACTTGAAGCATTTACGTCGAATTCCATAATAACCGGTAGTCTTTGACTTATGACCACAATTGAGTCCAAAATTTCTGTTGTTAAGAGCGACAGTTGTTCAGAGAGCTTTGATCCATTTTATGTCCTTTTTTTTTTTTTTTTGCAACAGATGTTAAGTAAATCACTTCACTTAGCAACATGGGTGCAAAGTGATTCTGGCTTTCTCATTGACTTTGCTTGTCGGAAGTTTTCAAAAGATGGTCATGCAACCATGGGGCATGGCAGGCAATCTTCATAAATATGAGCCAGTTGCCAAGTGCTGAAATTTTGATCACATGACCATGGGGACGTAACGGTCGTGAGTTCGAAAATTGATCATAGGTCACTTTTTAAGTATTTAAGTATTTAATAAATTTATAGGCCGCCCAATCCCGAAGGACTCCGGGCGACTAACAGAAATACATTTTTAAAAAATATAGAATTAAAAAACAGTGCTGTTGTAACTTTGACATTTCCTAATGAAATGCTTCCTCCTGAAACAGCATTTCCAGTCTTCCTTTTAACATTTTGAATGTTAATGTTTAATGCTTAAGATGTACTTTCTACAGTTTACATTAAGTGATTAATCCAAAAAAAGACCTTGACAGTATATTAATTCAACAAATAGCTCTACCTAACATGCAGAACTCGGGAATTAAGAGAGAAAGAGGCTGTCTGTCCCAGGGTTTAAATTTTATGTCTTTTCCTTTGAGTAAATAATTTAGCCCTGATACATATTTTTTCGAAAGATAGTGGCTTTATTATTTGTTTTGTTTGTTTGTTTATATATACAAATTTATTTGCTGCCCATTTCATGACAAAAGACTCTGGGTTGCTTATAGCAGAAATATTGAAAAACTTTAAATCATCTATTGTATATATAAAAAAAACCCAAACCCCCACAGTAGATAAAAAACATAGAAAATCATGGACACAAGATGGCAAAGAAGAAATCCAGACACACAGGGATGGGGAGGTGGGGTTGAATTTAATTAACCAATCACTTCCAGTATGAAGTGCTCCCATTGGGTCCCCAAGCCATCTGTCAGGCCATGTCTTAAGGGTCTTATGAAAAGCCAGGGGGGTTAAGATGTTCCAGAGAGCAGGAGCCACAGGAAAGAAGGCTCTTCTCCTGGAACCTGCCAGCCAAAATGTCTTGATTGACGGTATCTGCAGTGTGCACCCACTTCCAGTGTGAGTGGGGTGGACCAGTCCCATTGGAGTGAGATGATCCCTCAAGTAGGCTGTAGCAATGCCACGCAGGGCTTTAAAGGTGATGACCAACACCTTGAATTGCACCCGGAAGCAAACTGGCAAACAGTTATCTTAATTCCTTTGTTGAAAAGAAGCCATATTATATTTTCCAATGAAGGGGAAAAAAACCTTGCCGCTGATCTGTGGAATAAGAACATGTTAACAAGTAGCATGGCTATCCTAGTCCTATTACATCTGGACTTCGAAAATCCAGCTAACATCAAAAATATTGGTGAGAACCCTTATAGAAAATATTATGGAATTTACAGAAAACATTGCGGACAAAGAAAGATATATTAGCAATAGACTTCATTTTATGTTCATATTATTCATCAACTGTTTTATTGATTTTTTTATCCTGCCTTTATTGATTTTATTAAAAACTCAAGGCAGTGAACATACCTAACACTCCTTCTTCCTGTTTTCCCCACAACAACCCTGTAAGGTTGGTTGGGCTGAGAGAGAGTGACTGGCCCCAGTTCACCCAGCCGGCTTGCATGCTTAAGGCAGGAGTAGCACTCAAAGCTTCCTGGTTTCTAGCCCAGTACCTTAACCATTAGACCACACTGACTGGAATAATATATGATTTTTTTATCATTTATAATGCAATTTTCCATTGCTTGAGTGACATACTGTACCAATGCTCTTGGAATTGTGCATATGTATTTGTTTGCTTATCATAATTACACGCCATCCACTGGCCAGAGTCAAAGAACCGAGATAACATTACTACTAATTCTAGGCAACAATTTGTGAAGCATGTACTGTATACCAAAATATATGTTTGTAAAATTAGCATAGCAAGCCCCTTTTGAAAGAAAATGCAATGTATCAAAAATGTTCCCACAATTATGACTATCAGACATAGGTTTCTAGAATCTATTGACATGCTCTAGGGCAGGGGTGTCAAACTCAATTTCATTGAGGGCCGCATCAGGGTTGGGTTTGACCTCATGAGCCGGGACGGGCATGGCCAGCTTGACATCACTCATGTTGGGGGCGCCTGTGGCGGCCCGAGTGCTTTGCCAGTGAAAACGGGCTCCCGAGCTCTGTTTTCTGCTGCGATGGCCTCCTGCAAACCTCAGCCAGTGAAAACAGAGTTCGAGGGGCCACATGCAGCCCTCCTGAGTTCCATTTTTGCTGGCAGAAGTCCCGTGGGCTGGCCTTTTGCTGTTTCCAGGGGCCAGATCTAAGCACCCTGTGAGCTGGATCTGGCTCCCGGGGCTTGAGTTTGACATCCCTGCTCTAGGGCAAGGGTGTCAACTTGCGGCCCATGGGGGAGATGCATCATGTACTGGCCACGCCAGGGGTGGGTTGCTAATCCCGTTCCAACCGGTTCGGTTGGAACGGGGCTGGCGGCGTCCTCATGCACGTGCGCAGTTCATGCATGCGTCTTAGTGCCCGCGCGATGCTCCAGCTGCTCGCGGAGACTCGCGCAGGTGCTGTATGTGCCATCCAGCTGCTCGCGGAGAATCGCGCAGGCGCTGTATGTGCCATGCTCCTGCGTGGAAGCGCAGAAGCCTTCAAAGATTGGTAAGGAGCGCGGGCAGGCGGGTGGGCCTTTCGCCATTCCTGGAAGTTACTTACTTTCGGGTTCGCCGACCAACCGGTTTGCGGGGACCGCCGCGAACCGGTTGAAACCCACCCCTGGGCCATGCCCACCCTCGGTTTAACAAAGGGGAAAAAAGTCACAATGTCACTTGACAACATGAGTTTGACACCACTGCTCTAGGGGCTAGTACAAGCACATACTTCTTAAAAAGCTGCAAAATACAGTAATTCTAATACAGCAGTTGATATTGAGAGGTCAGCTGTGATATTGAAGGTGAAAACAGAGACCAAAGATCATTGTTCTTTGAATGTTCTTATTCACTGAATGTGCTAGTCAATGATTATGTATCAACTTCCAAAGAAATCAGTTGTTGTTTTAATGTAACTCAAAGCAACTCTGCGTTTTTCTCTGCACTGCCTCATCCAGTGATGGCAGATTTTGAAATTACAACAGGGCGCACAATGGGAATGTCAGGTGGATAAGATAAACCTAGCAAACACAAATTAGGAA